AAGCCCAACCAAGGCCTTTAGTGATGAACATCAGAGAGCCACTATCAACACGAGGGGACAAGGCAGCCTGAAGTTGGTGGTTTGGGGTGTCCAGTGCCACCGTGTCCCCCAGGGAGGGGTGATGACACCCTCAGTACCTTCCCACACCTCAGTCTGGAGTCAAAATATGAGCTAAAGGGGCTAAAAAGGAGGATGAGACATTTGGGGTCTCCTCCTTGCCCAGCTCCCTGCTCTTCCCCTCCCCACTCTGGGGTGCAAGGCAGGAGCCAGCTGAGCTCAGCCTGTCCTTCCTAAAATGGGGGAAAGCTGGACATTGACCAAAATGGACCATTTCAACCTGTTTCAGCAGCTTTTTCAGAGCAGCCTGGAACTGGAGAGACCTCACACAGCTCCTTCTCTCCTCCAGCACTTCGGTTTCCCCTCTCCAGTCCTTTTTTTTCCCCTCTCTATTCAAGAATCATCTCTAGATTAGCAAGAGATTGCTCCAGCCTGAAATGGGTCTTCTGCTGCAGAGTAAAAGCTGTCAGAAAAACCAGCTGTGCCCCCCCAATCCCCTCAGCGCTGCTGGGTGAGGGAACAGGAGCCCTCTTGGCCCTCGGTGTTGCCTTTTGAAGGGTGGGGAACCTGCCAAGCACCGCACCCGGAGCGCAGGGCATCGAAACTCGGCAAGCACGTGCCCAGCTCTGGATCCCAAGGGCCCGTCCTGCCCCAGATCCCAGCGTGGGAGGAACTCGGGAGGATGACAGCACTGAGCTGAATCCCTCGTGACTGCAGCACTCGGGGCTTGCAGCTCGAAGGCTCGACGGTAAAAACTCGTTTTTGGAGATCAGGAGGCTCGTTTTTCCTTCGGGACGTCACCCGGAGCAAAGCTTTGATTTTCCGATGGAAAAAAAACCCCAAACCCAACATAAAAACCGAGCACATACTCACCAGTCGAAGGAATTCTGCTCAAGAAGGTGCTGCCCGGGGTTTGGGTCAACACTGGACGTGTGTCCACGCTGGTCTTCAAGGCCGGTTCCGGGCACTGAGTTCGTCCAGCAGAGCTCGTGTGTTCTCACTGCACACACTGGGCTCAGCTGGCAGGGTCCTGGACCTTCACAGCCTGTTGTGGATCCAGGCCTTACTACTTTCCTTAAAAAAACACGACAAAAGGGGAAAAAAAAACCTAAACAAAACAACACCACCCCCACCCCCACCACCACCACCACCACTACAGCGTTACGGTAATTACAAGGAGGTTTAACACGCCTCGATTTGCATTAATTAAATCAACGGGGAGGCTTCAATTGAAGCAAAGGAGGTGTTTTTTTTTTTCTCTACACGGCAGCAAAACGCTGCGGAGAGGCTGGGGCTGGGAACTCCGGTTCGCTGCCTGGATGTGCGGCGGGATGGGGAGGGATCTGCCGGCTGCGAGGGGCTCCCCAGCAGGGAGGGAGCCGCGGGCAGGACGAGCTGGGGGTGGGGAGGATGAGGAGAAGAAGGCTCTCAGCTCTTAAGATGTGAAGAGCTCTGAGCTGGGTCCGTGGTGACACGGTCGGATTTGAGCCCGGGGAGGGGAAAGCTTTGGAGCCGGGGCCGTTGGGAGAGCGGAGGTTGCTCCGCAGGGATAAGCCCTGGGAAAGAGGAATGTTTCCATTCATACCCCGGCCCTGCTGCAAGCACAGCTGTGAGGGGAATATAAATGGGCAGCAGGGTGGGTTGTGGTTTTGTTGTTTTTTTTTTTTGTTTTTTTTTTCTTTTATTTTTTTTTAAAGCCACCGGTTTGAATATTGAAGCGGAGCTGACGCGCTGGAATGCTTGGCTGGAAGTGAGCCCTTCCAGCTCCCACCCCTCCAGGGCAGGGCACGGCCAACCTGCAGGTGGGTGCTCCCAGGGCCCACCCCACAATGTAACAGGAGTCAGTGTTTCCTTCCCGTGCCCCTGAGAAACAAAATCCACCTGGATTTAGGGAGATAAAGCATTCTAGTTCACGTTCAAACCCAGACCATTGGGTTGGAACGACAGGACCAGCCCAGAGCTGGTGCTGGAGGGGTGTGGTGGCAGATCACATCCTGGGACAGCCCTTAACTCCTGCTTTTTTTTTGCCAGAAAACCTCCCAGTGTGGCACAGGCAAGGCTGGAGGACACCCCAAAGGGTGGAGGGCTGTCCCCTCTGGTTGATGGCCCAGGCAAGTGGCAGGCACTGATGTTCAGTCTCTGCCTGTGGCCAGCCTGGGAAGCGCCAGCAGAGCTGTCCCAGCCCCTTCCTTTCCAACCTCTCAGGGCCAGGAGAGCAATCCCAGCAGGCTGAGACGTGGGGATGTGCTGGTTGTGGTTGGGGCAGAGTTGATTTCCTCCACAGTAGCTGCCCTGGGGCTGTGTTTGGGTTTGTGCTGAACACAGGGTTGATAACTCGGGGATGTTTTGTTGTTGCTGAGCAGCTCCTGAGCAGCACTCAAGGCCTTTTCTGCTCCTTGAGTCACCCTCAGTGACCAGGCTGGGGGTGCACAGGTAGTTTGGAGGGGACACAGCTGGCACAGCTGACCCTGCCTGACCCCAGGGACATCCCAGCCCATACAGCCCATCCTCAGGATATCAAGTAGGAGGAAAAAGGAGGCAGGGGGGACACTGGCAGTGATGTCATTTGCCTTCCCAAGCCACCCTTAGGCAGTGGCTGAACCCCTGCCTGGCTTTCCTTTGCTTGCACACACACAGAGCTTTTGCTTCCCCTGTTAAACTGTCTTTATCTCAGCCCACGAGTTTCCTCACTATTCCCACTCTCTCCCCCATCCCCACTGGATGGGTGGGAGCAAGTGGCTGCGTGGGGCTTGGATGTTGGCTGGAATTAAACCACGCCAGGGAAAACACCTTCCTGGTGTGCTCTGCTGGGATTTGTGCCACATCTTTCACACACGCTGCCTCTGGGCCCCCAGGCTGGAGCATGTCATGGAGATCTGGAGCAAAGGACGGCTTGGGACGGAGCCTGGCTGAAGAGATGGCTCCAGGCTGCATTTTAAAGCAGATGCAATAAGTCAGTGAATTAGGAAAATGCCCGGGGAGAGGGCTCCTGCATCATCACATCCCACAGAAAGCAGAGAGAGGCCCACGGAGAGGAGGGAGGAGGGTGTCTGCCCTGCACAAGTGACCCCAGGGCTTTCTCGAACTCCTTCTGGCAGGGTTTTCCTCCAGAGGCACAAAAATAATTGGGAAAGTGGTTTCTGGTTGGCTCTGGAGTGCCAGAGAAGGGTATCTGCCTGCTTCCCTCCTCCCCCAGCCCCCCCGGGCACTGGGGATGGGAATAAGCAGCTTCCCATGAACCGAGGGGTTAATGGATGTCAGACACCCTCCCAGAAGAGTCTGCTTCTGCCACCCCCTTCTGAAAGCCTTTACATAAGACTCCTGCAGAATTTATAGCCTGTCTCAGCTGTGCCACCACTGGGCTGCTCCCCTGTGGCTGCCAGCGCAGATCCCCAGCCCCGCTAATTCCGGGAGGAAAATGGGATTTGATTTCTGCACCAGTCACTGTCTCTCACTGTTAAAACGGGACCTGACGGGCTCAGCCACACGATTCCTCACACACATCGACCTTGAATGTCCCCTCACCCCCCACCCCCAGCATCGCAGCAGAGGACTGTCTCCACGGGCTGTCACACCCCAGCCTGAACCCGGGGCTGGAAACAGTGTAAAACATTTAAAAATAAATATCTGGGAGCCTTAAAAGCAGCGGGGCCTTGCGGTCCAGTTCACATCAGTCCTTTGTGTGTCACTGGGGAGCGCAGGAGACACTGAGTGATGTCCTCTGTGCTGAGTGATGTCCTCCCTGCTGCTGTGCCTTCTTCCCCCGAGGCCATCCCGGATCATCCTGGAGCATCCTCAGCCCCAGGGCTTGTCCTTGGCTGAGGGCGGCTGTGACACAAACAACCCAGGCACCGGAGGAGTGAAATGCTGCTTTTCTGATCCCGTTCTTCCCCTGGAAAAGGGCTTTGCTGGTACCCGCATCACCCACCGTCACCAGGAGAGGATCAGCACCACCCAAACCCCGTCTCCTCCAGCCTCCCCTCCTTCCTTCCCCCAGGAAATCCTGCCTCCGCGTAGCCCCAGGCGCTGTCTCTGCAGCTCCTCTCCGGGATGGCAGGAGATGGAGCAAAGCCGGCTCCTCCGCCATCCCCCCTCGGGTGTGTCCCAGCTGGAATCCTGCACCGCGGCGGGGACAATGCAAAAGCAGATGGTGCGTCAGGAGCAGGGATGCTCCCGGCAGCTGCCGAGCCGGCGTGTCCAGGATCCCTGCTGCCTCTGCCACCTCGGTGCCTGCCAGGACCCTGGGGAGGGGCTCCGGTGGGGTAAATCCGTGCGGCTCCGCCAGCTTCAGCCCTTCCTCGGGATGGAAGTGTCACTTTTCATGCTGCACAGCCAGGCTGGGTTGCTTTCCTTCCATCCCCGAGGCCAATCCCAGTCCCCCTTTCACATCCCTGTGCTGCTGAGGTGTTCAGAGACACCTCCTTCCAGCCAGCTTGCTGTTTCTTTTTTTCCCCCCCCTCCAGACTCTCCTCTTTCTTTCCCCCTTTCAGATTTGAGGCGTGCAGGCAGCCATCTGGCCAGCTTTCCAGGACAATGACAGGATTTTTCCTTACTCCTGTGCTTGGAGCCCTGATGCTGCATCTCTCCATTCCGGTTCTTCTGGCTGTGATTGAACTGCCCCCAACCCACAGCAAACAACCCCCCTCCCTGCTCCTGCCAGATGTGCCCCAGCTGCAGCAGATCCAGCAAAGGGATCACTGCCCACCCATCCCACGTGCAGGAAGGATCTCACCTCGTGCCCAGGTGAGGCCCTGGCACAGGTTTGCCCGGAGAAGCTGTGCCTGCCCCTGGATCCCTGGAAGTGTCCAAGGCCAGGTTGGACAGGGTATGGAGCAACCTGGGCTGGTGGAAGGTGTCCCTGCCCATGGCAGGGGGTGGAACGAGGTGATCCTCAAGGTCCCTTCCAATCCAAACCAGTCTGTGACTCTGCAACAGCCAACCCAGTCTTTATCCCTGCGGGTTTTATTCCCTTTGCCCCACAGCCCTCACTGCAGGCACATGAGCAGGGAGGGCTCTCCTGGCGTGTTCCCTGAGCACCTCAGTCACCAGACGTCCTGTGAGCACAGTCCTCAGCTCCTGCTCTCCCCATGGGCCCTCCTGCCCTCCCTGGCTCCTGCACGGATCATTCTGGGCAAGAAGGAGTGAGTTCCTCCGGACCTCGGAGCGGCTACAGCTTGGACCGGCAGAACGGCGCTTCTGGAACAACCGAGTCTCCCACGCCTTCCAGGAGGTCATCCCACTGGTCAAACTCCTCTTCCAGGTCTGCACGGGGCACAGATGGTTTGGGGGTTACCACAGCCTCATCAGCCCCACTCCAGGGGTCACAGAGGAGCATCCACCCCGACCCCTTTGCTGTGGGAAGCGCCGATCCCAAGCCCAGCGAGGCAGCGGCCACCCCACAGCCCCCCCACAAGCTGGGGGGCTCTCCCGCCCTCCCCAGCCCCTGAACAACGTGCCCTCCCCCCATACCGAGGTGCTTCTGCAGGAAGGCCAGAGCTGCCTGGCTGGTGATGGCCAGAGCCTTGTTGGGGTCGAGGGTCCCCCTCGCGCCGAAGATGCGGCTGATGAGTTTCCCGGGGAGAAAGGCGAAGTCAGTCTGGCTCTCGTGCACGGTTCCCCTGGGCAGGGAAGGGATGTGCTTCAGTGGGAGCTGGGGAGAGGTTCTCCTGCCGTAGGTGCTCCCTCCAGCCCCAGCTCACAGCACGGTGATGATCTTCGTCTGGCCGTTCCTGGAGCTCAACCTCTTCATCTTGGCGACGCTTTCTGGGGTCTGGAACTTCTCGGTGTTGATGAAGAGCACGGGCTTGGGCACCTCTGGGTACAGCAGGTTCTCCAGGGGGAACATCCAGGCATCGAGGGCCACCGCGCACCTGCAGCAGGAGGGACACCCACCACGGCTTCCCTTCCCACCGGGATGAGCCTCGTGTTCCCGGAGCTTCTGCAGCTCCTCATCCCTGCCCTGGCTTACCTGAAGCTGGGCTCTTTCACCAAGGCCAGCACCGCTGTCACCCCACCAAAGGAGTGGCCCATGACGGCCACTTTGGCCAGATCAAGGTTGCCCTGCAAAGAGGAGAAGGCTGTGCCCAAAGCTCGCCACGGGAGGTCCCTAATTAGGGAACAAAGAGCCAAGGGAAGATCAGCAAAGTCCCACTGCCAGGGGGGAAAATTCTGTGTCTCATTTTCACTGCTGCTGTGATTGGGACCTGGCTTCCCAGCATCCAGAGGGGAGGGAAGGGGAGGAGAGGCTCCAGGAAGCTGAGAGGTGGAAAGCTGTGCCTCTGCAGGGGACCTGCCTGTCCCAGGAGGAAAAGTCTCAGGCAGCAAGGACTGATCCTGCCACCAAAGGAAACCTGGACCCCCCTCCCATCCCCACCCAATCCCCCAGCAGGTCCTTCAGCACAGACAGACCCAGGTACCTTGAGCACGGAGAGATCCCAGTCCTGGGGAAGGATGTTCAGGACAGATTTTCCACTGGCGATGTCCTTGAAGAGCCGGAGCGCTCGCACACACTCCTCTGCTCTCTGATGAACCTGGCAGCCAGAGCCACCCCTCCCCTGGTTAGCCCAGCTCCTCCAACCCCCAAATTTGGGGTCAGATCCCCCCCTCAGTGCCCACTCATGCTCATCCCTCCAGGGTTTGGACCCGACAGGGCATTCCCTGAATTACAGCAAATGTAAAAGCAAGTGAGAGGCTGCAGCTCCCACAGGGATGCAGTGGATTTATTGGAATGGTTTCCTTTTGTTGTTTGCTTTTAATTTGGTTAATCTGATAGCAGAGACAGCTGGAGATGAGCAAAAGCCTCTGCTCTGGGAAGGAAGAAGGGAAGGGAGAACCCAAGATCCTTCCCAGCTGCCCCCTGGCCAAGCCTGCTGATGCCACCTACCAGCCCAAACCCCTGTGGGGAGCCCAGACCCCCCACCCCAGCCCAGGTGCCAGGAGCAAACCTGGGCGTCCCCCTAAAGCCCAGCTCAGGGGCTCCATCCAGGAGCAGCTCAAATGCCCAAACAACTCAGGGAGAGGACACCCTGACCTGGGACCACTTTGGGACCACGTCCTCTTGCTCCCCTAAGGACACTAGCACTGTTGGCTGTGCACATTTAAGGTGACAAGTGACAAAAAAACTCCAGTGAACACCTCTCTCCTGCTCCCTCTAACCATCGCGGAGGTCGACCTGGCAACTATTTCCTTCTGTTTATCATTTATTTCTCACTCACCCTCAACATTTACACTCACAGGTTCATCCTAATAAGAAAACTGCCTCCCTTGTCTGTGCAATGGGCTGTGAGACAGAGCACACACAGAAACAACAGGCTGGGAGGTGATTTAAGGCTGCCAAAAGCACCTCCAACCACCGCGGTTCCTAGAGAGTTTTTCTACGACTAATCTTCACTCGCTGTTGTCCTTTTAAACGAGGCAGAAACAAACAGAGGGGGTGTGTGTGGGGGGGGTGGAACTTGGCTCAGCAGGAAACCTTCCTGCTCCCCAGCAAGCAGCTGTCCGGGATAATCCCGGAGAGACAAAAATCCAAGCGTGAACAAACCCAGCAGCCGGTGCGGAGCGGGGCTGGGCACGGAGCCCGGCTCTCCCTGGGGTGCAGGGGACATTATCCAGGGGACATGGCAAAGCCCAGCCTGGCTCCTGCCAGGGTCAGCTGGAGCCGGACAGACAGAGCCCGTGAAGGAAGAGAGAAAACAGGTTGAACAGATTTTTCTCATCTCCAAGGAGAAAGCTCAGCCCCAGCATGGCAGCGATGCGGGACTGGGAAGGGCACAGGATGAAGATCCCAGGGATGCAGGAGGGAGTTCACACCTGCCTGTTGCCCACCCTGAACCCCCCACCCCGGTACCTGCTTGTTTCTGAAATAAAACTCCTTCTGCCCCTGGGGCACCCGTTGGAAGGGGATCCACTCCTCTCTCCCAGCCTCTGCCGTGCAGAAATAGGTGGTGGCAGCAGAGTGGTCCCTGCAGTGGCAGGAGGGAAGGTGGCCGTGTCATGGGGGCACCAGCAACTCCCCAGAGCACAATATCCCACCAGCCCTGGCACGGTAGTTGAATTTGGTGGGGACCAGGGCACCCACCTGTGCTCCAGCGCTGCCACCACGAAGCCCCAGGACGCCAGTTCCGTGCAGACAGAGGAGTACAGGGTCCTGCAAGGGAGACCAGGAGAGTCAGGGCAGGTCTGAGCAGGGCCAAGGGCAGCCCTGGACACCCAAATCCCCATCCCAGCCCTGCTCAGGGCTCATCCTACCGAAAGGCTCCCAGGCCGTGGGAGAAGATGATCAGGGGGTACCCACCGCTGCGGGGTTTGAAAGGCCCATTCCAGCTCACTGGAACTCTGCAGGAGCCTGTAGGGAGGAGAAACCCCCAGGAAATGGGGGATACAGGCAGGAGAAACCCCCAGGAAATGGGAGGGACACAGGCAGAGGAGTGTTGCTGCTGCAGCAGGTCCCTGCTCAGCTCCAGCCCTGCCTGTAGCATCCAGCCAAGAACAGGGGATGAGCTTGAGCTCTGCTCAGGGAGTGGATCCCTAAGGAACCCACATCAGGGAGTGGGTCCCTAAGGAATGGGGAGCACTCAGGGTGGGGGATGACCCCCCTCACCGATGGTGATGCTGAGCAGGGCTGAGCACCAGCGGCGCCGGAGGGTGGAGTCGGCCAGCCCAGCGCAGTACTCGGAGCGCGGGATCCAGAGCGGCTCCGTGGCCCCTGCACGGAGCAGGCAGGGGTAGAAGAGGCGGAGGAAGAGCCCCTGGGGGAGAGAGGGGAAAGGGGGACACACTGGGGACAGCACAGAGTGTGGTGGCCGTGTCCTCAGCGAAACCAGCTGGCTGCAGCCACGCTGCTCTGCGTGGAAACCTGTCCCTAATCCCATCCCCATGCCTGTCCCTGTTTCCATCCCAATCCCTGTCCCTGTTCCCATCCCCATCCCTGTCCCTGTTCCCATCCCCATGCCTGTCCCTGTTCCCATCCCCATCCCTGTCCCTGTTCCCATCCCAATCCCTGTCCCCTTCTCCATCCCTGTCCCCTGTACCTGCCGTGTGTGGCCCACCATGACATCCGTGCAGCCCACGTGGTGAGGTCCGTGCCCCTGGGGCAGTGCCAGCATCCCCCCCATGCTGCCACAGGCGAGCCTGGACAGAGACATGGGGTCAGTGTCTGTCCCCTCCCAGGGGGACCCTGACTCGCTCCCTCCTCCTTCCCTCACCCCTCTCCCATTGCCCAGACCCCGGGCAGCCCCCCAGAGCTGTGCCAGCAAAACTCACCAGCAGCAAGTGGAGTAATAAGGCTCCCAATTTCCCCCCTCCCCTCGAATTCCCAGGGGGCACAGTCCCTCAGGGCTGCTCAGGGACGAAAACCCCCCAGTTCCTCTCCCAGGAGCTGCCAGAGCAGGACGGTGGGGCAGAGCCTGCCCCAAGCCCACCCTGCTGAGGGTCCCCATCCCCTCGGGGGAGGCAGAGCTGGGGGTGTGCAACCAAGGGGTCAGTGCAGGGGTGACACCCACGGGAGCCACTGGGCATCACGAGGGGACGGGGCTCTGCACCCCCTCCCTCCTGTGCAAAACTACAGCTTCCAGCAGCGCCCGGGGCTGGGGAACCACAACTCCCAGCACGGTCCTGGCCAAGGACCACAGCTCCCAGTAAGCGCTGGGTCCTCGGACTACACCTCCCAGTATGCGCAGCTGAACTACAGCTCCCAGTGCTTCCCAGTGCCCTTTCTCCCAGAGCCCTTCCTGCAGCTCCCAGTGCTCCCCCCAGCGCCCCCAGTTACCATCGCAGCTCCCAGTAGTTCCCCAGCTGCCAGTGCCCTCTAGCTTCCAGTGTCCCCCCAGCTCCACCCCAGCTCCCAGTGCTTCCCGCAGCTTCCAGTTCCCCCAGCTGCACCCAGTGCCCTCACCCCTGCAGCTCCCAGTGCTCCCCAAGAGCTCCCAGTGCCCCTAAGCCGAGCTCCCTCTGCAGCTCCCAGCGCCCTTCCAAACTCTCAGGGCTCCCAAGTTTCCTCCTGTGCCCTCCCCGCAGCTCCCAGCAACAACTCCTCCAGGCCCCAGTATCCCCCGGCCCCCCTTTCCCAGTCCCTCCCGGCACTCACCAGTACACCGGGTCACAGTTCCCAGCACGCCCCAGTGAACTCTGCACTACAGCTCCCAGTGCCCCCGTGCACGTGGACTACAGCTCCCAGTGACACCAGCCCAAAAACAGGGCTCCCACTGCCAAATCTCAGCTCCCAGTGCTCCCAGTTCCAGGGCACAATCCCAGTCCCCTGTCACAGGCGCAGCCCCTCCGTGGGGAGCTGTAGGGGGCCATGCCCATGGGCAGCACCCCAATCCCAGGGTGCCCCGTCCCAGTCTGCACCCAGCTGGGTTTCTGCCCCCAGGATTGCCCCCCTGTGTCCCCCCCCCCCAGAGTCCAGAGGTGTTCGGGACTCCCACCGCCCATCCCCTGCGTTCCTGTCCTTCTCTTAATCCGCTTTCTGGAGCTAAAGCGGCCCCAGGGCCCCATTAATCCCCTCTGCGGCCAGGGATTAATTCCCTGCGGGCCCAGCCGGCCAGACCAGCAAATAAATATCCAAAGATTTGGTAAAAAACGTCCCTATCAAGCTCCCACATGCACAGCCCCACTCCAGGCTCCCCAGCACGGTCCCCGGGGTGCCTGGGGAAACTGAGGCAGGGGCTGGCAGTTGGGTGGGGCACTGGGCACCGTTGCTGTGTGTGTCCCCTGGGTGCCACCCGGCTGCTGGGGCAGGGAGAGGGGACCCCAGCCTGTGCCCCCAACACATTTACCCCCCCCAGAGGCCGATCCTCCCCCAGGCTGAGGCTGGCCGGGTCGTTACACCCATGGATGGGATCCAGCGCTCCGTCGCGTCCCGGCTTGCCCGGCCGGCGGGAAGGGCGGCTGGAGCGGCCGGGAATGCCAGGACAGGGTGGGAGAGGCGAGCCCTGACGTGCCCCTGCTGCCCGCCCCAGCCCACGCCCGGCTTCCCGAAATGGGGCTCAGCCCCCTGCCAGCACCCCCACATTGCCCTGGGAGAGGGTCCTGGCTGGAGGTGGTGGGCGTCGAGTCGGCTGCTCAGGACCATCTTGCTCTTCCTGCAGTTGAGCTCAGCAGGACTGTGGGGGTCCCTGTGATGTGGGTGTCACTGGAGACCCCCACACTGGGCTCACACAGTGTTCACAAGGACTTTCTTTAAAGGGATTAACTCAGCCCGTGGCCCCCACTCAGCTCCTGTTCCTATCACTCCACCAAGAGGAGAACTGATTTGGGGGGTCAGGCCAGGCTGGGACCCCCATCTCTGCCCCCTAAGAGGGTGAACCCCACAGTCCACCCCCACCTTCGTGCCATGGGTGCTGGGAGGGGCTGGGTTGGGGCCTGTCAGTGAGGATACAGAAGGGCTTATCCCTCCTGCCCCTGCCTGGGGGTCACCTGGGGGTGTCACTGCAGCCTAGGGGTGTCATTGGAACCGCAGGGGTCAGTGGAATCCGGGGGTGTCCTTGGAGCCCCAGGGGAATCCTTGGAGCCTGGGGATTGCTGGAGGATGGGGGTGACATCGAAGCCCTGAGGTGTCACTGGTGGAGGTGACCCCAGCTGTGTTCCTGCCCCTGCTCCCCATCGCTGCCCCACCCTGACCCCGCTGCTGCCCTACAACCGCCCCATCCCTTTGGGGTCCCCCGGGGGGCTCCAGGGCAGAGAGACCAGCGGGACGGGCCGCTCCCCCTCAGGGGTCTCACCGGCACCAGGTGACACGGGGGGTCGTGAGTCGGTCCCCGCGGGGGTCCCACAGCGGGGTGGGGGAAAGGGGGAGACACAGGGACCCTGCGGACCCCCCCGGGGCATCCCCCGGCGCGCGCGGGGATCCCCGTCCCACGTGGGCGCGACCAATGGGAACGCGCGGGGGCGGGCGTGGCTCTCTAGACCACGCCCACCTTACTACACCGACAGCCAATGGGAGGCGGGTGGGCGTGGCCAAGCGCGGCGATGTGGGCGGGGCGAGGGCGCGGGGTAACAGATGCGGGCGGGGGGGGGCACGTGGAGAGCGGGGGGTGACGATGGACCACCGGGAACGGCCGGGAAACGGGGCCGGGAACTGACCACGCAGGGACGGACAGTCCCGAGAGACAGACAGGCGGACAGGGGACAGCCAGCCCGGAGGGGGACAGGGGACAACCAGCCCGGAGGGGGACAAACGGACAGGGGCCAGCCAGCTCCGGTGGGAGGAAAGGGGACAGCCGCGGCGGGACAGACAGACTGACAGGGGACAGCCAGCCCCGGGGGGAACGGGGACAGACAGACGGACAGGGGGAAGGCAGCCTCGGGTGGGGACAGACAGACTGACAGGGCACAGCCAGTCCCGGGGGTAGAAAGGGGACAGCCATCCTAGGGCAGGACAGACAGACGGACAGGGGACAGCCAACAGCGGGACGAGGGACAGCAGGACAAGCAGCCACGAGGGGTGCGGACAGCCGGGGTCTTGCACAGGCAGCCTGTGGGACACGGGGACAGAGAGCGACAGACGGACAAGGTGACAAGAGGGACTCACTCCCCCAGCCCTCCCGGCCCCGGGGCTGCGCGGAGCCTCCCCCGGCAGCTCCTCCGTGCGGCCGCGCACCGGGAGCCCGGCGGGGCGGCACGGCGGCCGCTCCGCCGCCTTCCCCGGGCGGGGATGCAGCCCGGAGCCGCGGGCAGCCGGGGATTGGCACCGCGGGGCACGGCGGCCCGACACCCACCCGGGGCTGCGTGTCCCCGAAGGTAACGGGGGGACCGGGCAGGGAAGGAGCAGTTGGAGACAGGGGGGCTCCGGTGGCAGCGGGAGGGTCTATTCCCAGGTTTTTATTCCCAGGGGGCTGAGGAGGGAGGGGGGTCCTGCCGCAGGGATGTGTGGGGCCGCTTGCGGTGACACGGTTGGCGGCGACAGGACGGTGACGGCGCGACCTCTCCCCTTCTCCAGGGATTTGAAGCTGAGCCAAGCGATGGAAATGTCATTGTCGCGGCACGGGAGCCCGGAGAAGTGAGCGGCTGGGACACCTCTGCTCCGCGGCTGGAGAGCCGGACGGTCCCGAAAAACCAGCACGGCCCTGGGCAGAGGGGGCAGCAAGTGGGGTTTGCCCCAGGCTGCAAGGGCACAGGGCAACACCTGGGGGCCGGGAGCTGTCCCACCACCCACCTGGGGTTTGGGACACCAGCCTTTCCACCGGACTCTGGGACCCATCTGAGCCCGATGAGGACCTGGGGCTGTGTGTGAACCTATGCAGACCAGGAAGAAATACATTTTCCTGACTTTCCTCGCCTCTTGGCTTCTGCTTTTCTTCTTTGGAGGAGACCAGCTGCGCCGTTTCGCTTTCTTCTCCGGGAGGAAAGCCGAAGCCCGGAGGAACTGGCCCCGCTGGACGGATCGGTCCCTCCTCAAAAACTTTGCAGACCCCGAGGAGCTCCAGAGGGATGGGGACCCCTCCCTGCTGTCCCCCCAGGAGCGGCGGGTGGCGTGGCTGAGCGTCTACAAGAGCAGCAGATGCCGGATGGAATCCTGCTTCGACTTCTCCAGGTGCCAGAGGAACGGCTTCAGGGTGTTCACCTACCCCCGGGAGAGAGACCGGCCCATCTCGGAGAGCTACGGCAAAATCCTGGCCTCCATCGAGCGCTCCCGCTACTACACCCCAAACCCCGAGGAGGCCTGCCTCTTCATCCTCGGCATCGACACGCTGGACCGCGACCACCTCTCGGCTCAGTACGTCCGCGACGTCGACGAGAAAATCCGCGGCTTCCCGCTCTGGAACGGCGGCCGGAACCACCTCATCTTCAACCTCTACTCGGGCACCTGGCCCAACTACACCGGGGACCTGGGCTTCGACATCGGCCACGCCATCCTGGCCAAGGCCAGCTTTGACACCGAAAGCTTCCGGCCCGGCTTTGACGTCTCCATCCCCCTCTTCTCCAAGGACCACCCGCAGCGCGGCGGGGACAGGGGGTGGTTGTCTCAGGACTCGGTCCCCCCGAGAAAGAAGTACTTGTTGGTGTTCAAGGGGAAGCGGTACCTGACCGGCATCGGCTCCGGCACCCGGAACGCCCTGCACCACATCCACAACGGGAAGGACATCATCTCCCTCACCACCTGCAAGCACGGCAAGGACTGGGAGAAGCACAAGGACAGGCGCTGCGACAAGGATAACGTCGACTACGAAAAGTGAGTTGGAGATGGGGCGTGAAATGTGGGTCTAGGGGGAGTGGGACACCCCACAAAATGTTCCTTTCTGCGTGCCTGCCTGTGGCAGCTGGACCTCCAGGGAGGGAGATTTTGGGCTCTCCCAGGAATAGATGAGGGTTTCATGCCCCAGTGGGGAGCGAGGCGCTGAGTGCTCAGGGCTTTCCTGGTCTGCATTAAAGTTGGAGTAATCTGGTGAGAGCGGTTCTTATCTGCAATCGCTGCCACCGCCTCTAATACGATTTCCCTTTTCCCCACCACTGATGAATGACGCTTTTCTTCTCCCCCCCCTCCCGCCCTCCCTCAACATAAACGTTTCTCTTGGAGATGAGCCCGAAACATCCCCCCTCACTGGCTCCGCTAAAAATCCCACAAAACTGCGGGCAGTGTGGTGGTGGGTGGGGGTCCCCCTGCGTCCTCCATCGCAAATGGACGTGGTGGCAGCAGCGTGCGATGGAAAAAGCGGGGGGACAAAGTTGTGTGAGTTGGGGGACGTTGGCAGCTCCTCATCTCCCCGTCCTGCTACTTGTTACCCGTCACCAGCCGCCCAATCCAGGGCTGGTAAACACAGACCCCATCCCACCGGTGATGGGCAGGTCCCCATCCTACTGCCTGGGGACATCCCACAGCCACCCTGCAGGAGAGCAGATGGGGAGAGGCCACGTTGGGCATCATCCTCAAAGCGTCTTAGGAGGTGCTGGGAGGTAAAAGTGGAGCTGGGGTGCTGGCACTGGGATTAGCTGCGGCCCCAGGATGGGTCACACACCTCGTGACCCCTTCTGGAGGGTACCACCAGCCCAGCAGGGTCAGCCCTTGCATCAAGGTCTTTTTGGGATGGGGCATGGCAGGGTGATGGGGCTGACGGGACGGAGGGCCCAAGGTGAGCCCTGTGCCGTGCCAAGGGGCAGTGGGATGAGAAATCCCCCTGTCTGCCCACCCAGGTAATCCCCTAATGCTGTTTGCAAATACAGGGAGATTTACACCTCTCCCAGGATGGCTTTAGGCAGCGGATAGATGGGGAACACGTGGCACAGGGCAGCGTGCTCTTGTGTGACCCTGAGCCTCCACCACCCTGCTCGTCCCTGTGGGACACCGGGCAAAAAGCCATCGGCGTCTCCATCGCGCCGGGCCAGCTCTGCCCAACCTCCCGTGGGGATTGATGCCCTCCTGCCCTGGGAGATGTTCCCAGACTTGGACAGGGGACAAACCAGCAGGGAGGGGACACACCACAGCTGGCAAAGCGAGCCCCCAGCTGCCCCGTTCACGCGGCGTGTTGGGGACATCGGGTGCTGTCACCGTGGAGGCAGCACGGGGAGCAGAGGAAGGCCTTGCTGGGGGTTCCATCATCCTCCTCGACCCTGCTGTGCTCGGGGGGGGGGGGGGGGGATGCCAGAAACAAACTGGTTCTGTGCTGGGATAAAGGGTGGCTTGTGGCAGCGCTGCGGGCCAGCCCTGCTGTGGCTGCCCCGGGTTTGGAGCAATCCGAGCGGGTTGGGAAAGGCTCTCTGGAGCCGACGATCCCCCGGTGGCACCATGCCTGGCCGGAGCCACGGAGGGGCCTGGCGAAGGGAGCGCGGCGGGCGCCCGTCCCGGCTCCTAACAAAACAAGGAAGCCCTGACGGCCGTGATTGCCCGGAAACCGCAGCAGCGTCAGGAGCGAAGTATTTCCATCGGGAGGTTTTGGCCCCGCAGCCCGGCCGGCGCCAGCCTCCCCACGGCACTGCTGCAGAGGGGAGGCTTCCCCCTAGGATGTGCCCCGCTGCCCACCCAGCCCTGGCAGTGGGAATGGCCCCCCGGGGGTGCTGGGGGCCGTGGCTGGGTCTGGGGTCGCCGAGGAGCGGGTGGCAGCAGTGTCTGGCCCCAGGGATGTGGCTGTCACAGCTGTGGTTTCATGGGGAGGGTCTGGGCGCTGTTTGGAGACGCCATCACCCCTCCTCCTCTTGGGTTTTGGGTGTCAACGAGTCAGGGTGCACTAACGAGGCTTTTGGCATCCTCTGGGACAGTTTGACCAGAGGTGGGGTTTATTGTAAAACTTTGTGCCTTGGCACTGGGGCTGATTTCCCCCATCCCAGAGTGCCGGGATGCCCCAGGGTGCTCCAGCACTGTGAGGGGACACATCCTCAACTCCCAGGCTGGCACCAGCACCACGTTCCCTCCTGGGGACCAGCACACTTCAAGGAGCTCTTTGCTCTCCCACCCCCGCAGCTGGACCACGCACATTCCCCCTATCCCATCCGGGACGCGGCCGCCCCGTCCCTCCCTCCCCGCGGGCAGGAACAGACGGGGTCTGTGCCGACCTAGAGTCAATATTGGATTTTCCGGCGCGGTCTCGGGGACCCGGCAACGGACGCGCCTCTCCCCACCACGGCACAGAAGGGGCTTTCATAGCCCCACGGGCGAGCCCGGCGCGGGGGGGCCACGCTGGCTGCACCCACTGCCCCCCCTCCCAAAATGCTACCGGGGCAGGCAGGGCTGGTCCTGCCCGGCAAGTCCGGGCACGGCAGAGGAGTCGCCGCAGTTTCGGGCTTGGGGGTTCGGGTGGTGGCTTTGCGTGGAGTTTCATTACTGGAGGGTGGGGGGAGCAGGGTCATGCCTTTCAAGGCACCGGGGTCCTATCCTGACCCCCCACCCGTTAAGGGTGGCACAACACCCGGGGCGTGTCAGCTCCACCAGCCCCGGGGATATTCAGAGCCAAAATCAGCCCCAGTCAATCCTAACGCTGCCCTGGGCTGGTCACACACACCCTCCAGGTGCAGGTGAGACCCCCAGGATGCTCGTGGATTGGGACTGGGGGTCATTCCTGACTCCCACCCCATCTCCCATCCCAGGTTCGACTACCAGGAGCTGCTGCACAACTCCACCTTCTGCATCGTGCCCCGGGGCAGGCGCTTGGGCTCCTTCCGCTTCCTGGAGGCTCTGCAGGTACAGGGTGGGCAGGGGGACAGGGGAACCCCCCCTCGGGGTCCGGGGGGCTCTGTCCCACCCCTGTGGGGTCCCACCACAGGCTGCCTGCATCCCCGTGCTGCTGAGTGACGGCTGGGAGCTGCCCTTCGCCGAGGCTATCGACTGGAGCAAAGCTGCTGTCGTGGGCAGTGAGAGGCTCCTGCTGCAGGTACTGTGGCTGGATCCTGCCCCAAAACGGGCACAGAGGACCCCTAATCTTAATTTCAGTGATGGTGGATCCCCCAACCGAGTCTGGGGGAGGAACCCCTGCTACCAAATCCAGCAGCTCTCGTGGATGGATGCAGGAGAGTCTCGTCCAGCTTGGAATTGGGGTCCCGTTCCAGCTGCAACCCTGGAGGGGGGGTGGGTTTCATCTTGGGGAGGTGACCAAGATCCATCCCAGACTCTAACCCTTGGAGATCCTGGACCAGATCCTGCTCCAGAGAGAGGGGGTGCAGCACCACAGTGGAGCGGTGGCACAGCATCCTTGGCTGGATTGGGTTCAGGGGGTTCCCTTGGGATGGTTGGAGGTGGTGGAGGCAAGGAGCCCTGCTGGGGGGTGCTGAGAGGAGAAACCAGCTACCCCCCTGCCATCACAGATCCCTTCTGCTGTCCGCTGCATCCACCCGGAGCGCGTGCTGGCTTTCCAGCAGCAGACCCAGTTCCTGTGGGATGCATACTTCTCCTCCGTGGACAAGATCGTGCACACCACGCTGGAGGTGAGGCCCCCACCCCAAACTTCCCCTCATGGCTCCCAGGGTCACAACCAGGGTGCTGGGAGCCTCACTCTGGCCTCTGGCAGATCATCAAGGACCGTCTGTCTCCGCACCGTTCCCGCTTCCGCTTCCTCTGGAACACGCTGCCCGGGGGGCTCCTGGTCCTGCCCGACTTCTCCACCCACCCAGGGGATTTTCCCTTCTACTACCTGCAGCACGGTAGGACCCCACCTGTCCCCAACTGAGCACGGTGAACTCAGTGCATGCCACAACATCTGTCCTCTCTCACACCCTTTTTTCAGGCTCCAGCCCCTCCGAGAAGTTCACGGCCTTGATCCGGGTGGTCTCACAAGCGGGTTCCCTCTCCCAGCCCTTCCTCAGGCTCATCCAGGCTGTCTCTGGATCCCAATACTGTGCCCAGGTGGGAAGAGCTGAGCCCTGCAGTACCTGGTGCAGCTGGCAGGGATCCAGCAGAAGGGATGGGGCAGGGTCCCATGGGTCGGGAAGGGGATGGGTGGGTTTAGGGGTGGGAGAGGGTGGCTGATGGTGTCACCCTTGGGTGGGCAGAGGTGTATCCCCAGCTCCCGGGGTGAAGGTGGGACCACCTGGGGGTTTACCCTGGTCCAAACTGCCATGAGGTGGTTTTGGGATGAGTAGACACACTCGTCCTCTCCCCTGCAGATCCTGGTGCTGTGGAGCTGCGAGAGGCCACCACCACCGAGCGGGAAATGGCCCCAGACCACCGTGCCTCTGACCATCATCCAGGGCAGGAGGAAGGTGAGAGGGGCTGGGATGCAAGGCAGGGAGCCAGGATGGTGGTCAGGGAGCTGGGACACCCACCCCATGGCACAGCCCAACCTGTCTTTGCCCCCTCCACAGCTCAGCGACCGCTTCTTCCCCTACACGGCCATCCAGACGGACGCAGTGCTGAGCCTGGACGAGCACACCAGCCTCTCAACCAGCGAGGTGAGGCCGTGGGCACCACACTCCCTGGTCCCTCAGATGCTCAAGGGGCTGGCAGGAGCAGTGCTGCTGTCCCCGTGTCCCCATACCCCCTGGGAGAAGGCGGGGATGGTGTTGGGTGACCCACAGTGGGTGACCCACAGTGGGTGACACCGTCCCCCCACCCCCTGCCAGGTGGACTTTGCCTTCGTTGTGTGGCGCAGCTTCCCCGAGCGCATCGTGGGCTTCCCGGCCCTGAGCCACTTCTGGGACCCCGAGCAGGGGCGCTGGGGCTACACCTCCAAATGGACCAACGAGCTCTCCATCGTCCTCACCACCGCCGCCTTCTACCACAGGTACCCGCCCGGGGAGGGGCCGGTGGGGCAGGGGAATTCGGCCACATCCTGCCCCCCACCTCACCCCTCCCCAGGTACTACCACAGCCTCTTCACCGAGTACCTGCCGGCGGGGCTGCGGGACCTGGTGGACGGCCTGGCCGCCTGCGAGGACATCCTGATGAACGTCCTGGTGGCCGCCGTCACCAAGCTGCCCCCCATCAAGGTCACCCAGAGGAAGCAGCACAAGGACACGGCGCCCCAGCAGGTAGGGGGTGTGGATGGGGGCGTGGGGACCCCCCCGAGCAGGGAGTGCAGCCCCTCACCCCCGCACTGTCCCCCTGCCAAGGTGAAGGGCACGGCGGGGGCGGCCGGCAGCCGGCGTTTCTCCCAGCGGCAGGACTGCCTCAACCAGCTGGTGGACTGGTTTGGCCACATGCCCCTGGTGTCCTCCCAGCTGCGCCTCGACCCCGTCCTCTTCAAGGACCAGGTCTCCGTCCTGCGCAAGAAATACCCACGCCTGGAGAGACCCTGAGGGCTGCCGGGGTGCTCTGGGTGCCCTGCTCCCGGTGCACGGAGCCCCTCTGGGAGCAGATGGTTGCTGCTGCTGCTGCTGCTGCTGACGGGGTTTTACTCGTTATTGGGTTTTACCAGTGCAATAAAGGAGGGTGGAGAGGCAGAGTCTGTGGCTGCAGAAGGTGGGGGATGCACTGGTGTTCGAGTGCACCATTGCTTATGCATTTGGCACCCTGGGAATGACCCGGGCAGCTCCCGGCTGCACATACAGCTCCCCCAGCCCCGGGGGGAGGGCGAGTCCTTCACCCTCCCGAGGGCAAACAGAGGAGTGATAAGAGGAGAGAGCAAGGCCGGTGTGTTCTCCTTCCCCCAGCCAGGATGGGTCCGCCCACAGCACCAGGCTCTCCAGCACCCCACTGCCACACAGCACTCCCCGGAGAAGGGAAAAGGGATGTTGTAGCTGCCTTACCCTCCAGCTGAATGGAAATAGGGAATATTAAGGCTGCTGGCTTCCAACAGCTGCTGCCCTCCGGCTTCCACAGCCCTGAGTCTGCCCTTGATTCCTACAGATACCAGAGATAACACCCTGATGCCAGACCCAACACCCGTGTGCTCTGCTTTATTTTCCACCCACAAGAAGTTTGCCCCGGGACACGAGCAGAGCAGTCAGTCGCGGGGGGGCTGGCATTCCCGGCAGTCCCTCATCTCCTCGGAGTAGCTCTCCACCTGGATGGTGGTGGTGTGGAAGTGGAAGGTGCCCTGCAGCCGGGAGCTGGCCTCCTCCAGCACCTCCTGGGCGCTGGCAGCGGCGTCTGCAGGGAGCGAGGGAGGGGCTGTGGGGGCGTGGGTGAACCCCGACCCCAAACCCCGCATTGGGATGGCAAGGGGAGGGACGTGGGGGTGTGGGTGACCCCTGACCCCCTCCCTGGGGTACTCACTGATGGCGATGTGCACCGAGAGCAGGGGCTGTGCCGCCGTCAGCGCCCAGATGTGGAGGCTGTGCACGGCCTCCACCCCCCGCACCGCCAGCAGCGCCTCCCGCACCGCGTTGAAATCCATCCCTTTGGGGGTCCCTGGGCGGGGGAGAGCCACGGGCGCTGAGTGAGGGGGAACACGGCACCCATGGGTGACCCCCCGGCCCAGACACCCCCTCCCGGTGGGTCCCCACCTTCCATGAGGACGAGGAGGACGTCGCGCAGGATGGTCAGCGTCGTCCCCAGCACCAGCGCGGAGAAGAGGAAGGTGCAGATGGGATCCACGAACTTGCAATCGGGCTGGGGAGGGTGGGAGAGGGTGAGGCCTCTCTGGAAACATCACCTCACCCCAAGCCCCCAACAGCACCAGCAGGCAGGAGACACTCTCCCCTCTATGTCTCCATTAGAGACAGGGACCCCTCTGTCTTCATCTCACCCCTCTGTCTGGCCAGGGATGGCTGAAGCTGCTGTCCCCACGTCCCCAAGCATCCCATTTGTCCCCAGTAAGACCCAGACCTTGAAGAAGATGATGTAGGACGCGATGAGGACACCAACACTCTGCAACAGGTCCCCCACGACGTGGACGAAGGCGGCGCGGACGCTGGCGCTGGGCTGCTCGCCGGCTGCCCCGTGGCTGTGCCCGTGCCCTGTCTGGTGCAGAGCCATCCCCATCCTGCGGGCAGGACAGTGGTGACACCCCCAGGGGCCACCAGGCACAGGGAGGGGACACCCAGGGAGGGCAGGAGCCAGCTGGCCATACGTACACGATGTTGACGGCCACTGCACAGGCGGAGGTGATGAGCATGACCCCACCCTCGATGTCGTAGTCACCTGAGAGCAGGCGCTGGGCTGCCAGGTAGACCAGGACCCCCGTGACAACCCAGATGGAGAGCACAGAGAGCAGGGCCCCCAGGATCTCTGTGGAGAGACCCACCCCACCCCACATTGTTGCTTTGTCGCTGTGGCAAACCTGAGCTCCCTTCTGGGCTCCCCAGCAGCATCGGGGTGTGGGATGGGCACCCAGCACCCATCCCTGGGGATGCTCCTTGCTTCTGCCCTACCCTGCCCTTCATACCAGGGCTTTGCCAGGGCTCCCAGTGCCCTGCAGGACACCCCAAAGCACCCAGTCCCCATGGGAAGAGCACCCTGAGATGCTCTGAGTTCTCCCTAGGGATCCTGGGAGCTGGATGGTGGTGCCACCCCGTTACCTGCCCGGTGCCAGCCGAAGTTCATGGTTTTTGTGGGCGGGCGTGAGGACACCCAGAGTGCAGAGAGGCTGATCATGATGCTGGCAAAGTCGGTCAGGAGGTGGGCTGCGTCTGTCAGGATGGCCAGGCTGTGTGCCAGGTACCCCCCTGCAGAGAGGGGACATCAGTGGGGATGTCAGGGTGGCATCCCACCCCGAGGCTGGCACAGGCCAGCTCACCCCGTGCCACAGTGGGGTCCACACTGTGAGTTTAGACCCCCTGAAAACCCACAGGACCCCCTACCCACACCCACAGCAGGGAATCAGGACGAGAGAGGCTGCAGGGTGACCCCACAGGGACCATCCCCCCCGGACCCCGCACCTACCACTCACCCACGGCTTCCCCCACCATGAAGACGAGGCAGACGCCAGCAGCCAGGTAGAGCTTCCTGCGCGCCCGCCGCTGCTGCCCGGGGTGGCCGTCGGGCCCCCGGGTGTGGCAGTGCTGGCCATGCCGTGTCCCCAACTCCAGGGCGGGCGCCTGCCCCTGCACCGAGCCGTGCCCGTCCTTTTGCTCAGCCCCCACGTAGGACCTGCCGGGCAAAGGGGTGGTTGGGGAGCCGGGGGGATTTTGGGGAGGGGGTTAGACCCTGAATGCCCCCCCCACCCCGCCCCTTCCCTGGCCACGTGTCTCCAGGAGACCCCACTTTGGAGTTCCACGGAGAAGAGGGACCCAACATCCCCAGCCCCGCCGGGTACCCCCCTACCCGGCTGCGCCCTCGCTCAGGAGGTGCCGTTTCTCCTCGCCGGCTGCCATCCTCCTCCGGGTCGGGGGGGTCGGGGCGGGTGACCCCGGCGTGTGGCCGGCGCTGGTGGCAGCCGGTGGCCTCGGATCGTGTGGAGCGCCGGGATTCGTGTGCAAATCCCGGCTGGAGGAGGGACGGCCAAGCCGGCTGCAAAGCGCCCGCCGCCGCCTTGACCCGGGGTTGGCCCCCTCACCCGGCACCTGGAGGGGGAGATTTCTCTGCCACCCCCCCCATAGTACCCCTCAGGAGCTGCACACCACAGCATCCCCATGTCCCCCTCCAAAAAAGGCTCCTGGTGACCCCCCTCCCCCCCTCCCTGTCTTGGAGAGCCCTTGGAACTCCCCAGTTTAGATCCCGCTGCGGAGCAACCATGTGATGGATAAGCCTGGAGCCAGACCCGCCCCCAGCAGCGACTCCTGCCCCCCTGCTCTGGGTGAGCAGCACTGATTACCCTGGGGCTAATTGCAATTGTGATGCAGCCCAGGGCGCTGCTGCAGGCCCTGCCTCATTCCCCCTTGGCCCCTGCTGAGCCAGGTTTATGTTTTTTTCAGGAGAAAAGCATTTATGGAGTATTTTTGCACTTATGTGAGCTCAGCCAGCAGCAAACCAGCAGATGCCAAGACCATCCCCATTTTGGGGACTGGCACAGCCTGGAGCATCTTCAGCCACATTTCCAACCCCCAGGCAAGCACATCCCATCGCCAGGAGATAAATCCTGCCGGGTGCTGACCTGTTACATCCCCAGGCAGGCGGCCAGGCCCGCATGCCAGCGCTGCCAGAGGTGCTAACGAGGCTGGAAATTAAAGAGTTGGATTGGACGTGTCCCTCTACCATGCCAATAGCTGGCAGGGCCACCAGTGATGGCACCATGCTGGCAAACCACCCCCCCCCAGCCACAAGCCAAGAAGGAAGAGAGGCGAGGAAGAAATAACCACCCAAACCACCGGTGCTTTCTTTACAAAATACACAAATTTCAAATCCGTGACAATTATGTACAAAAACAAGGAAAATTACAAAACGTGCGGGAATCGTCCCGTTTGCACCCGTATGGAAAAGTGTCCTGTGCTGGAGCAGGCACCGGTTCTCGGGGCTGCCAGTCCCTGCTCCGTGTCCCCCCCCACACCCCCCAATCCCAAATCCACCGCCGGACATCCTGTGCCCGTGGAGTTTATCCCGTGCTGGCAACGTCACTGTGGCTACTGGGAAGCTGCCAGAGAAGAGGGCAGGAGGGTCAAGGGGAGTCCAAGCCCCCCCAGAGTTCCACCAGGGGTTGAGGGTCCAAAGGGGGTGGGCTTGGTTCTTTACCCATCACTGTCTTCTCGGGTGCTGTGTCCTCCTCCACCTCTTCCTCCTCCCCATCAAAAAATTCCTCATCTTCCTCTGCTGCGAACGAGCCACCAAATGTCACCAGGAGCCACCAGGAAAGGTGATGGGTGTCACCAGACTGGTGAGAATTGGTAAAGGGGTGTCAAGGGGGTCGGGGGCTGAATTACCAGGGTCGAAGTCCAAGGCATGGACAGCCTCAGTGAGGTGGTCCAGGCTCACGGAGAAGGCGTCCATGCTCTCGTATCCCGGCTCAATCTTCTCCAGACGACCACCCTTGGAGGCCTCCACGATCCTGGGCAGGGAAAGCACGGATATGTGTGTCCCTGTCCCCTCGCCAAGCTGGAGGACCACGGGGTGCCAGGGTAGGGGATCAGGGCAACCAGCAAAGCCCCGTGGCCAAATCCTGCCCATCTGTGGGGCTGGGCTCACTGGATTTTCCCCCAGTTTGAGCACTTACGTTTTGATGAGCTGCTTGGCATTCTGTGCGGAGAGAGGCGGAGATGAAGGAGTAGAAGGAGAAGAAGGAGAAGGAGGTGAGTGAAGCCACAAGACAGCCACCAGGATGTCCTCGACAGTAGGACCCCATGTGGGCGCCAGCAGGGAGGGAAAAGTTTGGGGGGTCTCACCATGAGGAAGGCAGCCCCGCCTGTCTCCTCCGCTGCCTGGATGGCCGTTTCCACCAGCCGGCTTGACTTCTCCAGCTGCTCCTTGTACTGGCAGATGAGGCTCTGGATGAAGGCTGTCTTGTCTCCCTGCTCCTGGGAGATGCGCTGCAGCAGCTCCGACTTCTTCTCCTCCAGCAGCGCTGCCAAGGCGTCGAAGCGAGCGCACAGCTCCCGCTTGGCCGCCTCGCCGTTCTCCTGGGGGGGGACAGGGGACAAAAGGATGCCACCTGTGCGTCCCTTCAGCACCAGCAGCACCCCCAGGGCTTCCCCGCTGAGGCCATTCACGGCTGAGGTTTCACCCCTGGGTTTTTGGGGGGTTTCCTTTTCCCCCCTTTCCCTCACCTCGGTGCTCTGGCACGAGTCCTCCAGCTGGGAGATGATGGTCTGGATCCGGTCGTTCCCCGCCACCAGCATGGAGATGCAGTTGTTCAGCTCAGTCTAGGGAGGGGCAGACACAAACAGCTTTAACTCCTGCGGGGTTGGGGACATCCTGACATGGGGACAGGCTGGGCATTGCTCGTCCCCAGCTCTGCTCCCCCACAAGCCACAGCTGCTCTAAATATAGTCTGTCTCCTGGGCGAAGTCACCCGGGGGGCTATTAATACCCCGTGAGCCAATCCCGGTGTTATTTGTGACTGTCCTAGCTCAGCACATCGCCCCGGGACCAGCCGTGTCACCCGCAGTCCCCCCCCTCCCTCTGTGTCCCCCCCCTCGTCACCTTCTGGCCCTGGAAGACGGTTTGCAGAGGGGCGACCTCGCAGTCCTTGTGGGCACCGAAGACCTTGCACATGGAGCAGGTGGGGACCTCGCAGGTGACGCAGTAGATGTTGATCCGCTCGTCCTCGTGCTCCTTGCACATGGGGTGCTCCCCCTTCTTCAGTGGCCTGCTGGGGAGAGCGGCACAGCCACGGTGACGCCCCCGTCGTGGTGCCGTGACCCCATGGGGGTGATGTCCCCACTGCAGGGACATCCCTGCCACCGTGATGCCCCACTGCGGCGTCACCCCGCTGGTGCTGCACGGTCACCCCAAAACCAAGTCCCCTGGAAAAAGGCCGGATCCTGCCATAATCCCACTCTTGCTCCCTTCAGGAGCCACCAAATTCTGTGCCTCTGTAAGCCCCAAGCCCAGTAAGTCCCAGTTTCAAGCCCTGTGTCGCTGGGCATGGCAGTGGTTGGCATGGGGGGTGTGGGGGGGGGCTCCGGGCTGTGCTCCAGGGATGCTGCACAAGGGCCTAAATTTAGCCCAGTGCTGCCTGGATTTATTGTCACCCATCGCGTGACCGGGGCTCCCAGAAACCCCCAGGAGGTCCCAGACAGGGGCTGCAGCCAAATCATCCCGTCTACAGCAAGGAGGGACATGGGGACAAGCCAACCCTCTGAAGCAAAGACAGGGCTGGGCCCCCCGAACCCCCCCAGCCTCTGTGACACCTGCCACGTGCCATCGTCCCTGTCCCCATGGCTCTCAAACAATATTTACAGCAGTGCAGGGAATTTGGCCAGGGCCATTGCTCTGCCTCGAGAACCTGTGACCCTCCTGTCCCCCCTCCAGCTTCATGTTTGCCCCTCCAAACTGTCCTTCTTCCTCTTATCAGCTTCAGTGACTGCTGTCATGAGCAGGGCCTGGATTTGTCCCCCACACCTCTTATCTCCCACCCAACACTTCAACAAGAGCATTTTGGGGGGGAACAGGACCTGCTCTACTGTCACCACCCCCCCAGGGACCCACCACCCCCCTGAGCCGCCCAGAGACACAAACTGCTCTGGGCAGGGGAGAGAATTGGATTGGGGGAGGAAGTTTTTGGTCAGGGGAAGAAGTTTTGAGACATGGGGTGAAGATTTTGATTGAGGAGGGAAGATTTGGGTCAGGATAAGAAGATCTGAATCAGGGACCATTGAACCAGCAGAAAGCCCCCCAATTTCTCAGTCTCCTGTGGTCTCAGTGATGGTGCTGGGGCATGGGAGGGGGGCATCCCTGAGTCCCCACATCCCCATATAACCGTGTCCCAGTCAACCACAGCCACCTGAGCCTACCTGGAGCACTCCTGCTTGTAGATGTCGATGATGTTCTCCACCAGCAGGTTCCTCTGCAGCCCATAGACCCCGTGACGGTCCAGCAGCACCTCGTGGCGGCACGACGGGCACCGGAACCGGCCCCCCGAAATCAAACTGCCCCGGCTCTGCCAGTACGGGTTGGCAGCCTGGGAGGGGGAGAGGAACAATATCAGTCTCTCCACAGCACCACAACCACCCTGACAGCCTCCAGCCCCGGGCAGAGGGGGTGGAAGGGGCGCAGGGGGACCTTCGTCTCACCTGGAAGACGTCGTTGGCACACTTGCGACAGAGGTTGTGTTGGCAGGGCAGGATCACCACCGGCTTGCTGAACATCTCCAGGCAGATGGGGCAGATGAGCTGCTTCTCCAGGCTCTCCATGGGGCTGCCATCCTGCAGGATGCCTGCTTGGAAATCCATTGCCTTGTCAGCGCTCTCCTCTCACCGCTCTCGGCTGCTTGTCGCCCCTGGTCCCGCTATTTATAAGTCGCTCCCCGGTCACGCGGATCCAAATCCCGACATGGGGTCGGGTGTCCGAGGAAGCAGCACCTGTCACACGGTGGTGAGCCATAGGGGAGCTGGCAGTGGTAAACAAGATGGGGACAGGCTGTCCAGGAGGCCCTGCCTGCCCGTGCCGTGGACATGTCTCAACCAGAGCAGGGGAGTAAACAGGGCCGGGCTCTGCCCCCAGGGCCAAAGGGTGGCACAGCATGGCCACATCCACGGCTGCACCCCAAAAAAGCATGGAGATGGGGGTAAGGAGGGCTAAAAAACCAGCCCCATCATCATTAGGACATTGTGATGGTGCCAGGAATGGGGCAGAGCTGGGCTAATGGCAGTGGGGGTGGCTTACATGGAGCACCTCTCTTTGCCCACCCCAAAATGTGACCGCTTCTGGGGTGACAACAAGCGCCTCACCAGTGGGTCCCCATGTGCTTGGAGGGGAGAGGCAGCTCCAGGGAGACGCAGCCCCCACGCCTGGCACGTGCACCAGGGTGTCCCCTCTCCAAGCAAGGGTTAGGGGGGGGTCCTCTGTGTCCCCAGATGCGGGGTGAGGGCTGCTCGGGCTGCTCCCTGTGCTGGTGTCATGGCCGTGACCCAGCTGGCTCCTCCGCCGGGTTTCAAAACCTGACCCAGAAAAAGGTGGGGGGACAGCGGGTGAGCACACTCTGAAAACAGCCCCAGCACACGGTGCCCAGCTGGCCTGGCCATAAACAGGGTGTTGGGCCAAGGGCCAGTGCCCAGCCACTGTCAGCACGGGCAGCTGCAGCAGGAGGGGGTAATTCTAGCCCTGTCCCCCATGGGTCACACCGAGGGGGGGACGAGATGTGGCTGCTGCAGCGCCCAGAGCCAGGGGTGGGTGCAGGGGCAGGTGGGTGCCTGGATACGTGGATGGAGATGTGCGGGGATGGGTGGGTGTAGGAGGTGCAGGGGTGCAGAGAGGCGTGGGTAGGTGGGTGGGTGGGTACCTGGATGCCCAGGGACACGGATGCACAGGCACCCAAATACACGGATACACGATACACAGGCACACGAGTGCATGGATGCACAGGTGCTTGGATGTGCAGGTCCATGGATATCCAGGCACACAGGTACATGGATACAGAGGTCCATGGATGCCCAGGCACACAGGTACATGGATACAGAGGTCCATGGATGCCCAGGCACACAGGTACATGGATACAGAGGTCCATGGATGCCCAGGCACACAGGTACATGGATACAGAGTACACAGATGCCCAGGCACACGATGTCTGGGTACACAGAGCCCATTCCTCCCCCACCACAAGCAGGGCAGCCCCGCAGCTGTTTTGGGAGCTCCTTCCGGACCGGCTCACGTGTCCAGCAAGTGACTGTGCCGGGGCTGGCCAAGCACATCTTGCAAAACTGTCCCCGTTTCGGCACTTGGGGCTCTTCCAGCGAGGAGCTGGCACAGGAGGGGGGCTGGCTGGGCACAGGGGAGGGCAGCACGGGGTGGGCAGACACTGGGATTGGGACACTCAGATGTGCACCCACGACCTGCCCCTGTGCAGGGGGGACATTGATTAACTAATTGCTTCTGGACTCGATTAAGGAGATTCACAGGAATGGAGGGGTTGTAATGCCCTAAGCAGCTTTTGGAACCCACAAGGGACTTGTTGGCCCCTAATTGGCTTGGGGCAGCTTAGGCAGGACCCAGGGTACTAATCACCCCTGGGCTCCATCCCAATTAACCCCAGAGAGCCCACTGTGGGAATTATTTCCCTCTGCTTGTCCCTGCAGGGCTCCAAGCTGTGGGTGCCCTGGCTTCTCCCAAAATGGTCCTGTGGTGGTTGAGCAATGGTTGAAGAGACAGCAGGGGCCGTGACAGGAGCCCTGTGCCCCCCAGGTCCTGGGCATGGGGGGCATCTCCAGCACTGCAGCCTGTGGAGGAAAGGGGGCACAGAAATGGGGCAACAGCTCCTGTGTCACTGTCACACAAAGCCAGACCTCAACCAAGGTCAAGAGGGGCTGTATTGACTTCTTCTGGATGCCAAGCAACAAATCATAGAATCCTGGAATGCTCTGGGCTGGAAATAGACCTTAAAGATCACCTCATTCCGCTCCTTGCCATGGGCAAGGACACCTTCCACTAGCCCAGGTTGCTCAGAGCCCGATCCAACCCGGCCTTGGACACTTCCAGGGATGGGGCAGCCACAGCTTCCCTGGGCAAACCTGTGCCAGGGTCTCACCTCCCTCACAGGGAAGGACTTCTCCCTAATTAATAAAAGGGGGGGGGGATCAAATAAATTAATTAAATTATGAATAATTTAATAAATATAACCAGTAAATCAATGGTTAAATAATAAATACAAATATCAATAATGACAATTATGATTATAATGGTGATAATAATAACAATAAAAGCCAAAACGCCTCCAAAACAGAGCAGGGCCGTTGCTGCCGAGGATGAGGGGCGGGGGGAATGGGACGAGCTGGTGGGGGGCACTAGGACCGCGCGTCCCCTCCAACGCTGGGCCCCGCCCCCTCTCTCCTCTCCCCGCCCCCTCTCCCCGCTGACCAATCCGAGATCTCGGTGGCGAATGGAGGGGCGTGGCTATTGATGGGCGTGGCGGGTTTGGGCGTGGCCAGCGCAGAGGGGAGGGAGCGCAGCCCTAAGATGGCGGCCGGGTGGCGGCGGCGGCGCTGAGGTAACGAGGTTTCCCCCGGCCCGACCCGGCTCGGGGGCGGCGGGTCCGGGCGGCCCCACATCCCCCCGGCGGGGGTTACAGCAGGGCGGGATCCGCGCTGCGGCCGTGAGGGGCCCGGCGCCCGCGCTGCGGCGGGCGGGGCCCGGCGGGCCGGCAGCGGTGCCCGGCGGTGATTCCCCCTCACAACCGCGAGCAGGAGGGAGACACGTTATTTTTGCCATTTATATAACTTATATCATCTATATTACTCACAATATTTATATCATTCCACGGTTATCGCCGCTGAGGAGGCGGGCGGCGCTTCCCGGGCCCTCAGGAGCGGGCGGGAGCGCCGGCCCAGTGCGGCCGCCCCGAGCAGCGGGGGGGACGTTTATATAATTTATATCACTTCTATCGCTTACATTATTTATATTGTTCCACCATTGCGGCGCTAACGAGGCGCTTCTCCCCTCGCAGGAGGAGCCCCGGGGCCGGGCTCGGTGACAGGGGGGCGTTCGCAGCTCTGAACCCGGGCTGACCGTGTTTGAGTAACGCGTTTTCCTCGGGGGTTGTTTTGGGCCAAATGTGCATCGCAGAGCTTTGCTGGAAGGTTAAAATATCTGTGTAGCAATTGCCTGAGACTGATGATACCTTTTTTCTCTCTCTTTTTTTC